TTGTGTTTTCGAATTGTCATGTTATTGTTATTAGATGTGGGAAATAGTGTTAGGAAGATAGTGTAGATTAGGCGTATGTAGAAATATAGGTTGAGCAGGGTTATGGTAATTATGATGGAGGGGATGATGAAGTTATTGTTTATTGTGAGTTCTTGAATGGTGATTCACTTGGGTAGGAAACCGGTTAGAGGGGGTAGGCCTCCCAGGGATAGGAGGGTAGATGTTATTAGTGGTATTAGGTAGGTTGATTTGTTTCAGGTGTGGGATAGCATGAGCGTTGTGGTGTTTTTTAGGTTGAGGGTTAGGAATATAGTAGTTGTTAGGATGATGTATGTAGTTGAGAATTGTGATAGTCAGGTTATATGTTAGTGTTATTGTTATTCAGCCTATGTGAGTGAAGAGTATCCTAGGATCTTACGTAATTGTGTTTGGTTGAGACCCCCTCAACTGCCTACTATGATAGATAGGGTTGAGAGGATTAGGAGTGCAGGTGTTGATCGATGGGTGAATTTGGTATATGATTGAGAGGGGAGCTAGTTTTTGTCATGTAAGGAGAAGTAAGCCAGAGGTTAGGGATGTTCCTTGGGTGACTTCTGGGACTCAAAAGTGGAAGGGAGCTATTCCTAGTTTTATGGCAAGGGCGGTTGTTATTATTAGGGATGAGAGTTGATTGGTGTGGCTTGTTATTGTTCAGTATCCTGATAGGTTGTTGGAAATAATTGCTATTATGAGGATTATGGATGCGGTAGATTGTGTTAGGAAGTATTTGCTAGCGGCTTCCGTGGAGCGAGGGTTTGTTTTTTTGATAAAGATTGGAGTGAAGGCTAATATGTTTATCTCTAGACCTGCTCAGGCGAGGAATCAGTGTGAGCTTAGTGTTGTAATGAGTGTGCCTGTGATTATCGTGATGTAGATAATAAGTTGAGCTAGTGGGTTGATTAGTACGGGAAGGGTGTGACCAACATTTTCGGGGTATGGGCCCGATAGCTTATTTAGCTGACCTTACTTTAGGATGGAGTGTCAGAGGTAGCACAGAGAAGTTTGGGTTCTCAGGGGTGGGTTCGATGCCCGCAATCCTAGAAATAAGAGGGTTGGGGCCTCTATTATTTACTCTATCAAAGTAACTCTTTTGTCAGACATATTTCTAGGTCTGAGGGGGAATGCTGGAGATTGCGATGGGCATTGAGATGTTTCATATGAGGAGTGCTAGTGTAAGTGGGAGAGAGTTTTTTCATAGTAAGTGTATGAGTTGATCATAGCGGAATCGGGGATACGCTGCTCGGATTCATAGAAATAAGGAAGTTAGGAAGAGTGTTTTAGTGGTAAAGCATGTTGTGAATAGTTCTGGTGAATGGATGGGGTAGGATGTGCCTAGAAAAATGGTGGTTGTTAGGGCATTTATTATGATGATGTTTATGTATTCGGCCATGAAGAATAGGGCGAATGGGCCTGCGGAATATTCAATATTAAAGCCTGATACTAGTTCTGATTCGCCTTCTATGAGATCAAAGGGGGTTCGATTTGTTTCTGCTAGTGTGGAGGTAAATCATATTATGGCTAGTGGTCATGATGGTAGGAGAAGTCAGAGGTATTCTTGTGTTGTAATAAGTATGTTGAGGTTGAATGAGCCAAATCCCCCGGCTAGTTTTTTTGTATTTTTTAGTAGAGACGGGGTTTCACCGTGTTAGCCAGGATAGTCTCGATCTCCTGACCTTGTGATCCACCCGCCTCGGCCTCCCAAAGTTCTGGGATTACAGGCTTGAGCCACCGCGCCCGCCCTTTTTTATTTTTAATTGAGACCAAGTCTTGCTCTGTCGCCAGGCTGCAGTGCAGTGGTGTGATCTCAGCTCATTGCAACCTCCACCTCCCAAGTTCAAGCAATTCTCCTGCCTCGGCCTCCCAAAAATGCTAGGATTACAGGCGTGACCCACCACACCTGGCCCCAATCTACCCTTCTAAAGATCGTTAGCAAATACATCACTATCTCCTAAGAGGGGCTGCCATGAACCCAGGGCCCATGTAATTCCATCTTAATATCAATTACTTTATAAAAATTAAGCTGTGCCTGAGGCTCTAGAGCCCAGTGGTACAAAGCAGTAATTGGTCGAAGTTCAACCTCCCTCCCACTCTGAGCTTGGACTGTGCCCTGAGGGCCTGTGTTTTGAATCTCTTTCCAGAACCTTGGCATGAACTTGGGACTGGGTGTCTGGATCACTTTTCATCACACTCCGGTCACCTGCTGCAAGGGTAAGACCAACTTGGCCCAACAAAGAAAGGAGGCAACCACTATATCATTTTAAAACAGCTTCGTCGGCTGGGTGTGGTGGCTGATGCCTGTAATCCCAGCACTCTGGGAGGCTGGATCACTTGAGGTCAGTTCAAGACCAGCCTGGCCAACATGGTGAAACCCTGTCTCTACTAAAAATACAAAAATTAGCTGGGCATGGTGGTGCATGTCTGTAATCCCAGCTACTTGAGAGGCTAAGGCAGGAGAATCACTTGAACGCGGGAAGTGGACGTTGCAGTGAGCTGAGATTGCGCCACTGCACTCCAGCCTGAGCAACAGAGCAAGACTGTCTCAAAAAAATAAAAGTAAAACAGCTTCATTGGGATGTAATTCACATACCATATGGTGAGCCCACTTAAGATATACAAGTAAATCAGTGGTTTTTGGTGTGTTACCTTATTTTTAAAATTGTAACTCTCTCTATATATATATAGGTATGTATATATGTATAACATAAAAGACATAATTTAGGCTTTTTTGAAATGGAGTTTCGCTCTTGTTGCTCACTGAAACCTCTGCCTCCCAGGTTGAAGTGATTCTTCTGCCTCAGCCTCCTGAGTAGCTGGGATTACAGGCGTGCACCACCATGCCCGGCTATTTTTTGTATTTTTAGAAGAGACGGGGTTTCATCATGTTGACCAGGCTGGTCTCGAACTCCTGACCTCAGGCAATCCGCCCACTTCGGCCTCCCAAAGTGCTGGGATGACAGGCGTAAGCCACCACGCCTGGCCCATTTAGGCCTTTTTTTTTTTTTTTTTTTTTTTTTTTTTGATGCGGAGTCTCGCTCTGTCGCCCAGGCTGGAGTGCAGTGGCCGGATCTCAGCTCACCGCAAGCTCTGCCTCCCGGGTTCCTGCCATTCTCCTGCCTCAGCCTCCCGAGTAGCTGGGACTACAGGCGCCGGCCACCTTGCCCGGCTAGTTTATTTTTTAGTAGAGACGGGGTTTCACCGTGTTAGCCAGGATGGTCTCGATCTCTTGACTTCGTGATCCACCTGCCTCGGCCTCCCAAAGTGCTGGGATTACAGGCTTGAGCCACCAAGCCCGGCCCATTTAGGCATTTTTAAGCATACAATTCAGTGGCATTGCATGCAGTGTTGTGCAACCATCACTCCAGCGTCTTTCCCAAACTTTCATCACCCGAAACATAAACTCTGGACCCATTAAACAAACATTCTCCTCTCTCCTCCATCTTCCAGTCATCTCTATTCTACTTCCTGTCTCTGTGGGTCGGCTTGTCCTGAATATTTCCTAGAAATGGGATCACACACGGTGTGGCCTTTTGTGTCTGGCTTTTCTCACTGAGTGTGACATCCTCAAGCTTCATCCACGCTGTGGCCTGTGTCAGTGCCTCGCATATTTTCTTTTTTTTTGAGACAGCGTCTCGCCTTGTCGCCCAGGCTGGAGTGCAGTGGCGCGATCTCAGCTCACTGCAACCTCCACCTCCTGGGTTCAATTCCTGCCTCAGCCTCCCAAGTAGCTGGGACTACAGGCGCCGACCGCCCAGGCCACCCATCCGCCAGGGCTCTAATTTTTTTTTTGTATTTTTTAGAACTTCACTGTAGCGGGTGTCTATCTGCCGTGATTTTGTATTATAGAGACGGGGTTTCACCGTGTTAGCCAGGATGGTCTCGATCTCCTGACCTTGTGATCCGCCTGCCTCGGGCTCCCAAAGTACTGGGATTACAGGCGTGAGCCACCACGTCTGGCCAAAAAAAATTTATTTAGGCCGGGTGTGGTGGCTCACACCTGTAATCCTAACACTTTAGGAGGCCAAGACAGGTGGATCATTTGAGGCCAGGAGTTCAAGACCAGTCTGGCCAACATAGTGAAATCCTGTCTCTACTAAAACTACAAAAATTAGCCGGGCATGGTGGCACCCACCTGTCATCCCAGCTACTCAGGAGGTTGAGGCACAAAAATCACTTGAACCAGGGAGGCAGAGGTTGCAGTGAGCCAAGTCTCAAAAGTAAATAAATAAATAAATAAAAAGCCAGGTGTGGTGGCTCACGCCTGTAATCCCAGCACTTTGGGAGGCCGAGGTGGATCATGAGGTCAGGTGATCGAGACCACCCTGGCTAACACGGTGAAACCCCATCTCTACTAAAAACACAAAAAAATTAGCTGGGCATGGTGGCGGGCACCTGTAGTCCCAGCTACTCGGGAGGCTGAGGCAGGAGAATGGCGTGAACCCAGGAGGCGGAGCTTGCAGTGAGCCAAGATCGCGCCACTGCACTCCAGCCTGGGCAACAGAGACTCCATCTCAAAAAAATTAACTGGGGATGGTGGCACTTGCCTGTAGTCCCAGCTATTCTGAAGGCTGAGGTGGGAGAATCATTTGAGCCTGGGAGGTTGAGGCTTCAGTGAGCTGAGATCATGCTACTGCACTCCAGCCTGGGTGACAGAGGAAGACCCTGTGTTATAAATTTATTGTTATTATTATTACTATTCAAGACAAGAGTATCATTCTGTCACCCAGGCTGGAGTTCAGTGGTGTGATCTCCGCTCACTTCAAGTGATTCTCCTGCCTCAGCCTCCCCAGTAGCTGGGATTACAGGCACCACCACAACACCCAGCTAATTTTTGTGTTTTTTAGTAGAGACAGAGTTTTGCCACGTTGGCCAAGCTGGTCTCGAACTCCTGACTTCAGGTGATCCGCCCGCTTTGGCCTCCCAAAGTGCCGGGATTATAGGTGTGAGCCCCCACGCCCAGCCTATAATTTTTTTTTGTAAATATACTGTTCAGTTTTTAGATGTACATTTAAAATTGTAAACAATCCACCCTGGCGTCCAAGCCTCGCCTCACCCATCGTAAAGCATGGTTCAGGTTCCCTCCTCTTCCTCCAGTCGCCCCTCTTAGCCTCTTAGGTTTTTCTTCAATGACTTCCCAGACCCAGTGCCTACACTCAGGGGCCCTGGGCTCCCTCAGGTTCCATGCTCGGCATCTCCAGGACAAGCAGGGTTCCACGTCTTCCCAGAAAGCCTACTCCTCCCTGGGGTCCCAGGTCCCCCCACTCCCTGCCTGGTCAGTCCCTGCCTCCCCTGACTCTTCACACCTGCCCATTTTCCCTCGTATCCTCCCCACCTCTCCCCCAGCCTCGGCCTCTCCCCCAGGGCAGGGACAGGGTGTCTGAGGGCCAGGGGGGTTAGCTTTGAGTGTTTGTTGATTGAAACACCAAGTGAATAGAAAATCAAGCCTAAACTGGCAGCCTGAGCACTTCCTTTTGTCTGCAAACTGCTCAGGTGTCTCACCCTGCCAGGCTTTGGCACTGGCTCTTTCCTCATCCAAGGGATACCCTTTCCCTCAACTCCTACCTTATCTGGAGAACTCTTATGTTACCTGCAAAACCTAATCCCATTGTACCCTTCCCTGCCAGAGTCATAAATTCAATCCTCAACTCAGGGGTACTGGGGGCATTTATGACAAGCTGTGTCATAAATTATAACAGCTTCTCTCAGGACCCGTGGCCAGGAAGTGGGTGATTGTCCCTAATGACCCTCACTCCTCTCTTCTCTCTGCCTAGCTACTCTGACGCATGGATCCCCTGGGCCCAGCCAAGCCACAATGGCTGTGGCGCCACTGTCTGGCCGGGCTGCTGTTTCAGCTGCTGGTGGCTGTGTGTTTCTTCTCCTACCTGCGTGTGTCCCGAGACGATGCCACTGGGTTCCCTAGGTCAGGGCTCATGGCCGTGGCACCTGTCACTGGAGTTCCCAATGGGTCCCGCTGCCAGGACAGCACGACAACCCCTGCCCGCCCCACCCTCCTGATCCTGCTGTGGACGTGGCCTTTTAACACACCCATGGCTCTGCCCCGCTGCTCAGAGATGGTGCCCGGCACGGCCGACTGCAACATCACTGCCGACTCCGATGTGTACCCACAGGCAGACGCGGTCATCGTGCACCACCGGGATATCATGTACGACCCCAGTGCCGACCTCCCGCCCCCCACCAGGCCGCAGGGGCAGCGCTGGATCTGGTTAAGCATGGAGTCTCCCAGCAACTGCCGGCATCTGCAAGCCCTAGACAGATACTTCAATCTCACCATGTCCTACCGCAGCGACTCCGACATCTTCACGCCCTACGGCTGGCTGGAGCCGTGGTCCGGCCAGCCTGCCCACCCACCGCTCAACCTCTCGGCCAAGACCGAGCTGGTGGCCTGGGCAGTGTCCAACTGGAAGCCGGACTCGGCCAGGGTGCGCTACTACCAGAGCCTGGAGGCCCATCTCAAGGTGGATGTGTACGGGAAATCCCACAAGCCCCTGCCCAGGGGGACCATGATGGAGACGCTGTCCCGGTACAAGTTCTACCTGGCCTTCGAGAACTCCTTGCACCTGGACTACATCACCGAGAAGCTGTGGAGGAACGCCCTGGAGGCCTGGGCCGTGCCCGTGGTGCTGGGGCCCAGCAGAAGCAACTATGAGAGGTTCCTGCCGCCCGATGCCTTCATCCACGTGGATGACTTCCAGAGCCCCGAGGACCTGGCCCGATACCTGCAGGAGCTGGACAAGGACCACGCCCGCTACCTGAGCTACTTCCGCTGGCGGGAGACGCTGCGGCCTCGCTTCTTCAGCTGGACACTGGCTTTCTGCAAGGCCTGCTGGAAACTGCAGGAGGAATCCAGGTACCAGACGGTGCACAGCATAGCGGCTTGGTTCACCTGAGAGGCCGGCGAGGGGCCTGGGCTGCCGGGACCTCACTTTCCCAGGGCCTCACCTACCTAGGGTCTCACTAGTCTGGGGATTTACCTACCTGGGGTCTCACCTGCCTGGGGCCTCGCCTGCTGGAGTCTTTGGTGGCCAGGCACGTGACTTACCTGGGACTTCACATGCCAGGCTTTACCACTGCCAGGAGCCTCCCCTGCTGGGGACCTTGCTGGCTGGGGACGGTGCCTACTGGGAACCTCACTTGCTGGAGGCTGCACCTACTGAGGGTCTCGGCTGTTGGGGACTTTACCTGCTGGGACCTGGTCCCAGAGACCTCGCCACACTAAATGTCACCTGTTAGGAGCCTCACTTGCTGGGGACCTCACCCTGGAGGGCACCCTGGGAACTGGTACCCTGGAGGCCCTGCCCCCGGGCGATGGTGCAGGCTGGTTAGCTTGTGGTTTTATTGCCGTTGTTAACCACCCATGAGGGGTGCAAACAGACAATGCTGTTACCATTTTCACACGAGAATGCTTCAAGGAAAGCTCCTGTGTCCCCCTCACCCCAGAACAGAGGTTCTCATGCAGGGCGATTCCATCCCCAAGGGCACTTGGCAATGTCCAGAGACATTTTCAGTCATCACAACCTGGGGAGGACGAGGTCACCTAGTGGGTAGAGGCCAGGGTTACCCCACACCCCCTACGATGCGCAAGTCGGGGCCCCTACAACCAACAATGATGGTTCCAAATGTCCAGGGGCAGAAAACCCTGTTCTAGAACTTTCTATGACCCTGGAGGTCAAGCCCCTTGGCGGGGGAGTGTTCAGATCTCTCGGGGGTCCTCTCCTCCGGCTGGCTCCCTGCCGTGGGCTCTGGCACCCACCCAGAAGTGAAAGTGTTTTTTCTGAAGATCTCAGGTCAAGAACTCCCAAGTCAGGCAAGCCCTGCATAGATCCCTGCTCCACCACTTAGGGGCTGCAGATGGGTTCTGACTGTAAATGAGGACGTCTGGAACATTCCAGAACATTCTGGGCTTGGGGGAAATTGCTCTCTGGAATGCCAAGCGGGACCTGGTGGTGGAAGGTGGTGGTGAATCCCAGGTGCTCTCTGAGCCTCAATCTCCCCATTTGCACAGTGGACATGTGGGCTCTGAGGGCTGCGGAGTGGGGCCCGTGCTCTCCAGGAGTGAAGATGGGCAGGGCTGGGATAAAGGGACCCTCTCTGCCCAGGGCACAGGGCCCAAGGGAGCTGGATGTGTTGCCCCAGGTGTGTAGGGCAGGTCAGAGAAGGGCAGGATCCCCTGAGGAGGGGGGCAAGGGGAATGTGTGTGACCGTCAGCAGTGGTGTGCACATGGCTGGGGGACACTCGGTGTGACTGTTAGCAGGTGGGTGTCACAAACACATCACTGTGGGTGTGACCTTGGTGTGACTCTGATAGTGCCTGCGGATGTGTTGCGATGCCTGCCTGTGGCTCTATGTGGGTGTTTGTAGGTGGTGGTGATTGCGAATGTGAGACAGAATGTGTGGCCCTGGGAGGCTTTGAGTGTTGGATGGAGCAGGAGCCCCTCTCTGAGTGTGCGTGTCTGTGTGTCTCTCTGGGTGACCGCGCAAGGCCGTATCTGCATGGACCTGTGTCCTTGGGTGTGGTGAAGTGGGCTGTGTGTGGCCACATATGGGATTCTTAAGCTATGTCTGCAAGTGGCTGTGACCATGTGTGTGGCCTTGTGGATGAGCAGGGGGAGGTGGGGTTCTTAAAAGTATTACAGGAGGGGAAACTGAGGCCCACAGAGGGCCAGGGACCCAGGCCAAACATTCCTCCCTGCAGGGGGGTAGGCAGAGACCCTGCAGGATGGTGGGAGGATCAGCATGACCTCAGCCTCCTGAAGAAGGTGCCGGCAGTGGCTCCGCTCTGCAAAGGAGGTAGGTGGCTGATGCCCAGAGAAGTTGAGGAACTCACCCAAGGCCACACAGCTGCCAGAGGTGAAAGTGGGTTTTCTGAAGATCTCAGGTCAAGAACTCCAAAGTCAGGCAAGTCTCCCATAGAGCCCTGCTCTACCACTTACGGTCTGCAAGTGTCTTCTGACTGTAAATGAAGACTTCTGGAACATTCCGGAACATTCTGGAACATTCTGGGCTTGGGGGAAATTGCTGCTCTCTGGAGGATGCCATGGGGGACCTGGTGGTGGAGGGTGGTGTTGACTCCCAGGTGCTCTCAGCCCAGTTTCCCCATCTGCACAGTGGACATGCAGAGGTGCTTGTGATGGCTCCCCCAGGCCCAGGTGGGAGGGTGGAGGGGCATAGAGTGGGGAAGGTGTGGGGGGCCTGGAGAGTCTCTGCCAAACCCGCTGGTGACTCCGGGCCTGAGCCAGCCTTGCTGGGCCCATCACTCACCTGCCACCCACACCACACACCTGGGCCCCTCTCCCCACACCCTGGCTGCAAACCAGGGGTCCCAGGAAGGGATGGGGCCCTCGGGAGGCCAGGCCAGGGCTTCTTAACAGGGTGGTGTGGAACCAGTTCCCTGGGGATAAGGAGTTGGATTGGGAGCAGGTTCCTCTGTACCCTGACACCCCTGGAGCCCCCGTGGTCGCCGCCTCTACCTGAACTGATGTCAGAATCAACATCTCCCTTTCTCAACTTGTCTTTCTCTCCCTCTGGAATTTCCTGTGAGGCTTAGAGGGACGTGGAAACCCTCCTTGGGTCCCACAAGGACAGAGCCCCAGCCACCTGGCCAATGCTAGGGGACCCTGGCCTGCCCCCTCTGGAACCGCAGCACCACCCCAAACCTCCATTGCCTCCTGGTATGCCCCGGATCTCATGTGTGGTTCATGGCACACCCAGCCCAGCCCGTGGGGCCTTCTCCCTCCTGAGTGGCAGCTGCCCTTGGCTCCCACCCCTGGGCCCCAAGGGAAGAGAATTTTCCAGCAGGCTGGCAGCTCTATCACCCACCCAGCCCAGGCTGAGGGAGGAACTGGGGGGTCCAATGAGGGCAGAGACCCCAGTGAGGAGGTCCTCGTGATTCCCCACTCTGGGCTCTGGGCTCAGCTCTTTGGCAGGGAGATTCCATCCAGCACTAGCCTGGTGAGCCCTGCTCTGAGAGAGCCAGGGAATCTCTCAGGTCACACAGCAATTTCAGGATAAGACACACTGTTTCTGGCAATGGGCTGCAGCTCCTCTTCCAGATCTCAGTGGTCGGAGACTGGTCCAGCTGTGGATCTGAGAGCCAAGGGGCCTGGGTTGCAATCCCAAACCCCACCTCTAGCCCTCCTGACTCCTGGCTGTGTGAACAAGGTGGACTGGGGTTAGATGTTACAGGAGGAGGGAACCAGTTCAAAGGACACACACAAGAAGGGATTCACGGTGAGGGCCAATCGGATGTGGGCCGTGAGCTGCCAGGGCAGATCTTGGGGACAGGGCAGGAGCTCCGTGGGCAACAGTGCCAGTGCGGTAATGACCACATTTGAGTGGGGTGGGGTGACCTCACCAGGAATCTGTCTTCTGCCATGTTGTGTCAAAAGGAGCATGTGGCCGGGCACAGTGGCTCACACCTGCAATCCCAGCACTTTGGAAGGCTGAGGTGGGTGGATCACTTGAGGTCAGGATTTGAAGACCAGCCTGGCCAACATGGAGAAACTCCATCTCTACTAAAAATACAAAAATTAGCCAGACATGATGGCATGTGCCTGTAGTCCCAGCTCGTTGGGAAGCTGAGGCAGGAGGATCACTTGAACCCAAGAGGCAGAGATTGCAGTGAGCCGAGATTGGGCCACTGCACTCCAGCCTGGGAGACAGTGCGAGACTCCGTCTCAAAAAAAAAAAAAAGCAGGAAAGAAAGAAAAAGCATGGCATTCATTTCCAGTCCCTGTGGAGGGACAGGGCATGCAGGGAAGGGCAGGTGTGGCCAGATTGACCAGGATTCCGTAATGACCCAATAAAGCATTTATCAACTTCTACTTTCTTGCTATTGGGGTTTAAGCAGCATCTGGCCTCAGGTGTGATTGGAGCTCAGCCCAGAGTGTGGACTTAGCTCCCAGGAGCACCATTGCCTCAGCCAGCCCAGCCTCCCATTGCCTGGTGATCACAACTGTGGAATGGGCAGAGCCCTGTGGCCCTCCACTAGAGACCTACCCTTGGGTTTCTCACTCCAGCTTCCCTCATCTCTTGCTCTTCTAGGTTTTCTGTCCTCACGAGGCTGTTAGCCCAGCAGGGGAAGGAAGGGACACAGTGTGGCCTGAGCTAGGATGCGGGAGACAGAGGCAGTTGGAGTAGCCAGTGGAAGGAATTGATCTGGCTGGAAAGGCAAGAGAGCCCCTATCTTTGGAAGCTCCCGGGAGGAGCTGTCTGCACCGAGCCTTGAAGAATGGGAACTAGGCAGGAGGCAGGGGGCAGAGAGTACAGTTGTCCAACTGGAGACAGCCTGCTACATTTGAAACTCCAAGTGACTCACAGCAGTGAACGCTCTCTCTCAGGACCTCAGTCTTCACATCCATAGGACGGCTGTGTGGGACGGAAGCCTTGCCCATTCAGGCTTGGCTGGGGCCCCACTCTCAAAGGCATGTGAATCAGAGCAACTCCATCTTGAATAGGAGCTGGGTAAAATGAGGCTGAGACCTGCTGGGCTGCATTCCCAGGTGGTTAAGTCATTCTAAGTCACAGGATGACATAGGAGATCAGCACAAGATACAGGTCATAAAGATCTTGCTGATAAAACAGGTTGCAGTAAAGAAGCCGGTCAAAACCCACCAAAACCAAGATGGTGGTAAGAGTGACCTCAGGGCATCCTCACTGCTACACTCCCACTCGCACCAGGACAGTTTACAAATGCCATGGCAACATCAGGAAGTTACCCTATATGGTCTAAAAAGGGGAGACATGAATAATCCACCCGTTGTTTAGCATGTCACTAAGAAATAACCAGCCGGGCACCGTGGTTCAGGCCAGGCGTAGTGGCTCAAGCCTGTAATTCCAGCACTTTGGGAGGCTGAGATGGGCAGAATGCCTGAGGTCAGGAGTTCGAGACCAGCCTGGCCAACATGATGAAACCCCCCCATCTCTACTAAAAACACATAAATTAGCTGGGTGTGATGGTGCATACCTGTAATCCCAGCTACTCAGGAGACTGAGGCACAAGAATCGCTTCAACCCAGGAGGTGGAGGTTGCAGTGAACTGAGATCACACCACTGCACTCCAGCCTAGGCGATAAAGCGAGACTCCGTCTCAAAAAAAAAAAAAAAAAAAGGCCGGGCGCGGTGGCTCAAGCCTGTAATCCCAGCACTTTGGGAGGCCGAGACGGGCGGATCACGAGGTCAGGAGATCGAGACCATCCTGGCTAACACGGTGAAACCCCGTCTCTACTATAAAATACAAAAAACTAGCCGGGCGAGGTGGCGGGCGCCTGTAATCCCAGCTACCCGGGAGGCTGAGGCAGGAGAATGGCGTAAACCCGGGAGGCGGAGCTTGCAGTGAGCTGAGATCCGGCCACTGCACTCCAGCCTGGGCAACAGAGCAAGACTCCATCTCAAAAAAAAAAAAAAAAAAAAGAAAGAAAAGAAAAAAGAAATAACCATAAAAACAGGCAACCAGCGGTCCTGAGGGCTACTCTGTCTATGGAGTAGCCCTTCTTTTATTCCTTTACCTTCCTAATAAACTTGCTTTCACTTTAGAGACTAGCCCTGAATTGTTTCTTGCGTGAGATCCAAGAACTCTCGGGGTCTGATTGGAACCCCTTTCCTGTGACACCAAGACTGATAACCCCACGAGTTGTCTTAGTCAGTCACAGAGAATGCCCCCAGCGAGGACATGAGCAGAGAGCAGACTTAGGTCACCCCTTCTGGAAATGGTCTGCCTGGGAGACCCCAGTCCCTGGCCCAGCCCTGTCCCCTCAATCCTCCTCACTGGCATGGGCCTGGCTGGGCACTGAGATGGTGGAACCCCAGGCAGTGTGAAGCAGCCTCCTGGAAATGATTTCTAGAACAGGGAAGACATCGAACATGGAGTTTGGACCATAGACTTGGTCGTCTCTGCACCCAGTTTGGGGGTGACAGAGTTAAAGGCCATCCTCTCTCAAGGACAGCCTTCCAGATCACTTGTCTCCTCCATTCCAGGAAGCTTATATGGCTCCCTGGACCTCTCCTGTGATTTACAGGAGAGGGTGGGGAAAGGGAGTGCTTTTGATTTTGTTTTGTTTTGTTTTTGAGACACAGTGTCTTGCTCTCTCAGGCTAGAGTGCACTGGCGCTATCTCAGCTCACTGCAACCCCTGCCTCCCGGGCTCACGTGAGTCTCCTGCCTTAGCCTCCCAAGTAGCTGGGGTTACAGGTGCCCGCCACCGCGCCTGGCTAATTTTTGGGTTTTTTTTTTTTTAGTAGAGACGGGGTTTCGCCACGTTGACCAGGCTGGTCTCAAACTCCTGACCTCATGATCCACCCACCTTGGCCTCCCAAAGTGCTGGGATTACAGGCGTGAGCCATCGTGCCCGGCCAAGGCAGTGCTTTTGAGGCACACAGAGGACCTTGGTGAGGCCAGAGGAAGCCTCGGCCACCATTCTGGGGCAGAGGACCCTCATCACTTGCCAGGACACCTGGAACAGCCTCCTTTTCCTCCCCGCTCTCCTCTGCTCTGTCCCGATGGCCTGTGCCCAGCATGTCCTGATACAGCGTCTCAAACCACACATTAATACGGTAACCTGGCCTGGCACGGTGGCTCACACTTGTAATCCTAGGGCTTTGGGAAATCGAGGTGGGAGGATCTTGAGGCTAGGAGTTCAAAACAGCCTGGGCAACACTGAAAGACCTCTCACCTGAACAAAACAATTAAAAAGGCCAGGCAAGCTGGCTCACGCCTGTAATCCTGGCACTTTGGGAGGCCGAGGCGGATGGATCACCTGAGGTCAGGAGTTCGAGACCAGTCTAGCCAACATGATGAAACCCCATCTTTACTAAAAATACAAAAACTAGCCAGGCATGGTGGCGGGCGCCTGTAATCCCAGCTACTCAGGAGGCTGAGGAAGGAGAATCGCTTGAACCCAGGAGGCAGAGGAGCCAATATTGCACCACTGTACTCTAGCCTGGAAGACAGAGCAAGACTGTCTCCAAAAAAAAAAAAAAAAGTAAAAATTAACGTGGTGGTGCACGCCTGTACTGCTAGCAACCAGAGAGGCTAAGGCAGGAGGATCATTTGAGCCTAGGAGTTGGAGACTGCAATGAGCTATGATCGATGCACTGAACTCTAGGCTGGATGACAGTGACACTTTGTTGCAAAATAAAAAAAAAAAATGTCTGAGCGCAGTGGCTTACGCCTGTAATCCCAGCGCTTTGGGAGGCTGAGGCGGGCAAATTGCTTGAGCTCAGGAGTTTGAAACCAGCCTGGGCAACATAGCGAGACCTCATCTCTACAAAGGATAAACCGAATTAGCAAGGCATAGTGGCACATGGCTGTAGCCCTAGCCACTCAGGAGCCTGAGGCAGGAGGATCGCTTGAGCCTGGGAGGTGGAGGCTGTAGTGAGTCGTGGTCATGCCATTGCACTTCCAGCCTGGGCGACAGAGTGAGATTCTGTGTCAAAAAAAAACGGTAACCCCACTGCTTGAAGCTTTGCACGGCTTCCTATCACCCTGGTGCTAAACATGCCACCGCTGACCATGGCTGGATGTGGCTCAGCCCCAGAAGCAGCACTGTCTCATATTCCACTTGTGAAGACCCAGCCTAGAGTTTCCTTCAGCTCCTCCAATGCGCCTGGACCACTCCTTTGCACAGATTATTTTTTTGAGACAGCATCTCCCCTCTGTCACCCCAGCTGGAGTGCAGTGGCATGATCTAGGCTCACTGCAACCTCCTCCTCTTGGATTCAAGTGATTCTCTTGCCTCAGCCTCCTGAGCAGCTGGGATTACAGGCACCCACCACGACACCCGGCTAATTTGTGTATTTTTAGGAGAGACGGGGTTTCGCCATGTTGGCCAGGCTGGTCTTGAACTCCTGACCTCAGGCGATCCACCCACCTCAGCCTCCCAAAGTGTCACGTGCATCTGTGTGAAGAGACCACCACACAAGTTTCGCGTGAGCAATAAATATTTTTAATCACCTGGGTGCAGGTGGGCTGAGTCTGAAAAAGGAGTCAGCAAAGGGAGATAGGGGTGGGGCCTTTTTTTTTTTTTGAGACGGAGTCTCGCTCTGTCGCCCAGGCTAGAGTGCAGTGGCACAATCTTGGCTCACTGCAAGCTCTGCCTCCTGGGTTCACACCATCCTCCTGCCTCAGCCTCCCGAGTAGCTGGGACTATAGGCACCCGCCACCAAGCCCAGCTAATTTTTTTGTATTTTTAGTAGAGATGGGGTTTCACCGTGTTAGCCAGGATGGTCTTGATCTCCTGACCTCATGATCCCCCCCCCGCCTTGGCTTCCCAAAGTGTTGGGCTTACAGGCGTGAGCCACCACGCCTGGCCACAAAGTACCTTCTTAAGTTGGGGGAAAAGTATTACGAAGTACCTTTTTACTTTTTTTTACAAAATATCTTCTTATTGGCAGGGGGGAGGATATTACAAAGTACCTTCTCAAGGGTGGGGAGAGTGTATTGTACAAAGTACGTTCACCCTTTGTGAATATCACAACGTGGGGAATATCACAAGGTACATTATTGCAAGGGGAGTGGTGTATTGTCACAAAGTCAATTGATCAGTAAGGGCGGGGCAGGAACAAATCACTATGGTGGAATGTCACCAGTTAAAGCAGGAACTGGCTATTCTCACTTCTTTTCTGGATATTCAGTTGCTTCAGGCCATCTAGATATACACATGCAAGTCCAGGGGATTTGATGGCTTAGCTTGGGCTCAGAGGCCTGACCAATGGTTCCCTGGCAAAAGCCATGTATTGTCTGACTCACCCACTTGCTCCCTGCAGTCTCTCTGGGTCTGGTATATAATAGGTGCACGAGCAATGTTTGTTGATTGACTGACTGAATGGGCGGAATGGTTAAAATTCTGCTCAAGGCCGGGCGCAGTGGCTCACGCCTGTAATCCCAGCACTTTGGGAGGCTGAGGTGGGCGGATCATGAGGTCAGGAGATCGAGACCATCTTGGCTAACATGGTGAAACCCCATCTCTACTAAAAATACAAAAAATTAGCCCTGTAGTCCCAGCTACTAGGGAGGCTGAGGCAGGAGGATGGTGTGAACCCAGGAGGCGGAGCTTGCAGTGAGCCGAGATCGCACCACTGCACTCCAGCCTGGGTGACAGAGCGAGACTCCGTCTCAAAAAAAAAAAAAAACTCCTGCTCACTTCCCTCCCTTTACCATCTCCCAAGAAACCCATGGGGCCCCCCATGGAACCCACTTTGAGAATCAATACTTTAGATCAGCATTTTCACTTTATGGATGGATCAGCTATGTACCCAAAGCCAGGTAGACTTCAGGCTACAGGTGAAGCCCCGGTCATGTCCTGGGCCTCCAAATTCCTGCACCACATCCAGTCTTACGGGCAAGATTAGGACACCCCGGAAATTGGCTTCCAGACAATATCCCGGCTGCAGGGGAGAACACCACCCTACGTAACCTGGTGACAGGTGTGTGCTGCAGTACACACTTGCTTGTTCCTCCTCTCTGTTCCCACTTCCTGCCCGCCCTAGGAGACCTGCCATGGCCTCCTGGTGAGCTGCGCTCATCCACTGCTCGCTGCCTTCCCAGGTAAGTTATCCCGTTCTACCTTTTCCCCTACCCAGAATGCCTGGGAGACCTCCCAGGAAAGGCCTCCTGGCTCCGCTGCTCCTCCCCTCAGCCCCCAGCCTGTCTGCCCTGACTCAAGACGTGGCTGGGCTGGCACAAAATCCCAATGGAGAGTCACCGAACTGTCCACGACCTGGAATATGGCCAGCACCCCCTAGTTGGAGGCAGGGGTCTTTGTGGGTGTGGCATGCACCCCCGTGGGAGAGGGCATGGAAGGTTCTGGGTGATTTGCCAAACTGGGAGGAAAGAGAGACGTTTATCCGTCTCCTTGGCAGAGCTCTGGAACGGAGTCCCCTCTGCACCCCAACCCCATCAACAGCCTATCCCCACTTACCTTTTCTGGCCTTGGATTCTCCCTGACCCTGCCTGCCTGGGGTGGACTTTAGATGCAATTGTTTTGTTTTTTATTTTTGAGACAGAATCTTGCTCTGTTGTCCAGGCTGGAGTGCAGTGAGACAATCATGGCTCACTGCAGCCTCAAACTCCTGGGCTCGAGCGATCCTCCTGCCTCAGGCTCTGGAGTAGCTGGGACTACAGGCGTGTGCCACCTCACCCTAATTTTTTTTTTTTTTTTTTTTTTTGGAGAGATGGGATCTCACTATGTTGCCTCAGGCTAGACTTGTTTTGCGTTTTTTGTTGTAGTTTTTTGCTTTTAAGACAGAGTCTTGCTCTGTCACCCAGGCTGGGGTACGGTGGCATGATCTTGGCTCACTGCAACCTCTGCCTCCCTCATTCAAGTGATTGTCATGCCTCAGTCTCCTGAGTAGGTGGGATTAAGGCGCCTGCTGCCACACCTGGCTAATTTTTATATTTTTAGTAGAGACAGGATTTCACAATGTTGCCCAGGGTGGTCTCAAACTCCTGACCTCAGGTGATCTGCCTGCCTCAGCCTCCCCAAGTACTGGTATTACAGTCGTGAGCCACTTTGCCCAACCAGTCAGGCTGATCTTGAACTCCTAGGCTCAAGTGATCCATCCGCCTAGACTTCCTGAAGTGCTGGGATTACAGGCACAAACCACCACGCCCAGCCATTTGTGGTTTTTGCTTCCTGATCCTTGTGATGTCCCAGCAGAATAGCATTTTTTAATTTTTCTAGGAAAAAGTATCTTGGGTTCAACTTGGGTGGGATCTGAGTCCTAATTGCCCCCCACCAATCACCCGTTTCCCCCAATCTACCCTCCTGAAGCTCACTGACAAAGACTTGTCTTCTAGGAGAGGCTGCCATAAATCCAGGACCAACATAATTCCATCTTTTTTTTTTCTGAGACGGAGTCTCACTCTGTCACCCAGGCTGGAGTGCAGTGGCCGGATCTCAGCTCACTGCAAGCTCCGCCTCCCAGGTTTACGCCATTCTCCTGCCTCAGCCTCCCGAGTAGCTGGGACTACAGGCGCCCGCCACCGTACCCGGCTAGTTTTTTAGTAGAGATTTTTAGTGTTAGCCAGGATGGTCTCGATCTCCTGACCTCGTGATCCACCCATCTCGGCCTCCCAAAGTGCTGGGATTACAGGCTTGAGCCACTGCACCTGGCCATAATTCCATCTTAATATCAATTACTTTTAAAAAAAAATGTACCTTGTGTCTGAGACTCTAGAGTCCAATAGGGCAAAGCAGTAACTAGTCAAAGTTTAACCTCCCTCCCACTCTGGGCTCAGACTGTCCCCTGAAGGCCTGTGTTTTGAGTCTCTTTTCAGAACGTTGGCGTGAACTTGGCACTTGGCGTACGGATCCCCTTTCATCACCCAGGTGACCTGCAGGGAATTCCGCCTCACAGTGCAAGGTTTAGACCAATTCGGTCCAACAGAGAAAGCAGGCAACCGCTATGTTATTTGAAAACAGCTTCATCGGGATATCATTTGCAAACCATACAGCGAACCCATTTCAGGTGTATAAGTCAAGTTTATCATGTATTACATTATTTTTATTTTATTTATTTTGAGACGGAGTCTCGCTGTGTCCCCCAGGCTGCAGTGTAGTGGCGAAATCTTGGCTCATGGCAAGCTCCACCTCCTGGGTTCACGCCATTCTCCTGCCTCAGCCTGCCGAGTAGCTGGGACTACAGGTGCCCGCCACCACACCCAGCAAATTTTTTGCATTTTTAGTAGTGACGGGGTTTCGTCATGTGGGCCAGGATGGTCTCAATCTCTTGACCTCGTCATCCACCCGCCTCAGCCTCCCAAAATGCTGGGATTACAGGCGTGAGCCACCAAGCCTGGCCTTATTTTTTTTTTGAGGCGGAGTCTCGCTCTGTCGCCCAGGCTGGAGTGCAGTAGCCGGATCTCAGCTCACTGCAAGCTCCGCCTCCCGGGTTCCCGCCATTCTCCTGCCTCAGCCTCCCGAGTAGCTGGGACTACAGGCGCCGCCACCACGCCCGGCTTTTTTGTGTTTTTAGTAGAGACGGGGTTTCGCCGTGTTAGCCAGGATGGTCTCGATCTCCTGACCTCATGATCCGCCCGTCTCGGCCTCCCAAAGTGCTGGGATTACAGGCTTGAGCCACCGCGCCCGGCCAGCCTGGCCTTATTTTTTTAAGACAAGGTCTTACTCTTTATCACCCAGGCTGGCGTTACACATCTGTGGCGTGATCACAAATCGCTGCAACCTCAAACTTCCAGACTCAAGCAATCCTCCCAAGTAGCTGGGACTACAGACATGTGCCACCTTGCCAGGCAAATTTTTGTATTTTTAGTAGAGTTGGGATTTTGCCATGTTGCCCAGGCTGGTCTTTTTATTAATTTTTGAGATGGAATCTTGCTCTGTCACCCAGGCTGAAGTACAGTGGCACGATCTCAGCTTACTGCAACCTCCACCTCCCAGGTTCAAGTAATTCTCATGCCTCAACCTCCCGAGTAGTTGGGATTACAGGCGTGAAGCACTACACTCAGCTAATTTTAGTATTTTCAGTAGGAACAGGGTTTCACCATGTTGGCCAGTCTGGTCTTGGACTCCTGACCTCAAGTGATCCACCCACCTCAGCCTCCCAAAGTGCTGGGATTACAGGTGTGAGCCACGAAACCCAGCTTTTAAAAATTTATTTTTGAGACACAATCTCCCTCTGTCGCCCAGGCTGGAATGCAGTGGTGTCATCTTGGCTCACTGCAACCTCTGCCTCCCAGGGTTAAGTGATTCTCTTGCCTCAGCCTCCTGAGTAGCTGGGATTACAGGTGTGTGCCACCACACCTGGCTAATTTTTGTATTTTTAGTAGAATTGGGGTTTCACCAGGTTGGCCAGGCTGGTCTCAAATTCCTGACCTCAGGTGATCCGCCCACCTCGGCCTCCCAAAGTGCTGGGACTACAGGTGTGAGCCACTGTAGTTGGCCAGTCAGCTCATATATTACCTGCAAAACCCAATCCCATTGTACCTTTCTCTAGCTGAGTCATGGATTCAAGCCTTGCCTCAGGGACACGGGAAGCAATGATGACCAGCTATGCCTTCCTTCTCCCCTGCCTCCAGAGCATTTGTATTTTAGTAGACTGAGGAAGACTTAGGATTCCAGGAAAGGTCTTGTCTAATAGGTAGAAGGAAGTGGACTCTGGGCCAAGCTCCCTTTGTTTAAACACCAGCTGTGCTGATTTTTGCTGTGAGTCACTTGGTCTCAGATTTCTCATCTGTCAAACAGGAATAATAGCAGCTCCTCTCAGGACTCATGGCCGGGAGCTTTGGTAAGCAGGTGACTGTCATCAATGACCCTCACACTCCTCTCTCCTCTCTTCCCAGCTACTCTGACCCATGGATCCCCTGGGCACGGCCAAGCCACAATGGCCGTGGCGCCACTGTCTGGCCGCGCTGCTGTTTCAGTTGCTGGTGGCTGTGTGTTTCTTCTCCTACCTGCGTGTGTCCCGAGACGATGCCACTGGGTTCCCTAGGCCAGGGTACATGGCCGTGGCACCTGTCACTGGGGCTCCCAATGGGTCCTCCCGACAGGACACCACTCCCACCCGCCCCCACCCTCCTGATCCTGCTGTGGACGTGGCCTTTCCACATCCCCGTGGCTCTGTCCCGCTGTTCAGAGATGGTGCCTGGCACGGCCGACTGCCAAATCACTGCCGACCGCAAGGTGTACCCGAAGGCAGATGCGGTCATTGTGCACCACTGGGATATCATGTCCAATCCTAAGTCACGTCTCCCACCTTCCCCGAGGCCGCAGGGACAGCGCTGGATCTGGTTCAACTTAGAGCCACCTTCTAACTGCTGGCACCTGCAAGCCCTGGACGGATACTTCAATCTCACCATGTCCTACCGCAGCGACTCCGACATCTTCACGCCCTACGGCTGGCTGGAGCCACGGTCCGGCCAGCCTGCCCACCCACCACTCAACCTCTCGGCCAAGACCGAATTGGTGGCCTGGGCGGTGTCCAACTGGAAGCCGGACTTGGCCAGGGTGCGCTACTACCAGAGCCTGCAGGCCCATCTCAAGGTGGATGTGTATGGGAAATCCCACAAGCCCCTGCCCAAGGGGACCATGATGGAAACACTGTCCCGGTACAAGTTCTACCTGGCCTTCGAGAACTCCTTGAACCCCGACTACATCACCGAGAAGCTGTGGAGGAACGCCCTGGAGGCCTGGGCCGTGCCCGTGGTGCTGGGGCCCAGCAGAAGAAACTATGAGAGGTTCCTGCCGCCCGATGCCTTCATCCACGTGGACGACTTCCAGAGCCCCAAGGACCTGGCCCGCTACCTGAGCTACTTTCACTGGCGGGAGACGCTGCAGCCTCGCTCCTTCAGCTGGGCACTGGATTTCTGCAAGGCCTGCTGGAAACTGCAGGAGGAATCCAGGTACCAGACGGTGCACAGCATAGCGGCTTGGTTCACCTGAGAGGCCGGTGTGGGGCCTGGGTTCCCGGGAACCTCATCTGCCTGGGTCTTCACCTGCTGGAGTCCTTCATGGCCAGCCCTCTCACTTCCCTGGGAACTCACATGCTGGACTTCACGGCTGTCAGGAGCCTCCCCTGCAGAAGCCTTGCCTGCTGGGGACCTTGGCCGCTGGAGGCTGCACCTACTGAGGATCTCAGCTGTTGGGGACTTTTACCTGCTGGGACCTGCTCCCAGATACCCTGCCACACAGAATCTCACCTGCTAGGAGCTTCACCTGCTGGGGACCTCACCCTGGAGGGCACTGGGCCCTGGGGAACTGGCACCCTTGGGGACGCACTCAGAGTGATGGTTCTGGCTGATTTGTTTGTGATGTTGTTAGCTGCCTGTGAGGCCTGCAGAGGGACAATGACGGTACCGTTTCCAGTTGTAATACTGCAAGGAAAAATGATTACGTGTCTCCTCACTCTAGAGTTTGTCCCTTTCAGGCCTCTGAGCCCAAGCTAAGCCATCATATCTCCCCAGGGACCTGCACGTATCCATCCAGATGGCCTGAAGCAACTGAAGATCCACAAAAGAAGTGAAAATAGCCTTAACTGATGACATTCCACCATTGTGATTTGTTCCTGCCCCACCCTAACTGATCCATGTACTTTGTCATCTACCCCACCCTTAATTAAGAAGGTTCTTTGTAAATCCCCCCACCCTTGAGAATGTACTTTGTGAGATTTCACCACCTGCCCCCAAAACATTGCTCTTAACTCTACCGCCTAGCCCCAAACCTGTAAGAACCAATGATAATCCACCGTGCTTTGCTGACTCCTTTTTCAGACTCAGCCCGCCTGCACCCAGGTGAAATAAACTGCCACGTTGCTCACACAAAGCCTGTTTGGTGGTCTCTTCACACGGACACGTGAGACATTTGGTGCCGAAAACCCGGATCAGCGGGACTCCTTCAGGAGACCAGGGCGCTGTCCTCACCCTCACTACTCCATCTACGACCTCGGCTCCTCAGACAAACCAGCCCAAGGAACATCTCACCAATTTCAAATCGGGTAAGCGGCCTCTTTTTACTTTCTTCTCCAACCTCTCTATCCCTCAACCTGTTTCTCCTTGCAATCTTGGTGCCACCCTGCAGTCACTCCCTAAATTTCAATTCCTTTCATTTTCTGGTAGAGACAAAGGAGACACATTTATCCGTGGTCCCAAAACTCCGGCGCCGGTCATGGACTCAGGAAGGCAGCCTTCCCTTGGTGTTTAATCGTTGCGGGGACGCCGCTCTGATTATTCACCCACGTTCCACTGGTGTCTGATCTCCATGGGGACGCCTGCCTTGGTCATTCACCCACGTTACCTTGGTGGCAAGTCAATTGCGGGGACGCCTGCTTTGGCTGCTCCCCACCCCCCCCTTCTCCCTGTCTCTATCCTTCTCTTTAAACTTGCCTCCTTCACTATGGGCAACCTTCCACCCTCCATTCCTCCTTTTTCTCCCTTAGCCTGTGTTCTCAAGAACTGAAAACCCCTTTGGCCATGTGCGGTGGCTCACGCCTGTAATCCCAGCACTTTGAGACCCCAAGGCGGGCAGATCACGAGGTCAGGAAATCGAGACCACGGTGAAACCCCATCTTTACTAATAACAACAACAAAAACACAAAAAAAGTTAGCTGGGCACGGCGGTGAGCGCCTGTGCTCCCAGCGACTCGGGAGGCTGAGGCAGGAGAATGGCGTGAATCCCGGAGGCGGAGCTTGCAGTGAGCCGAGATGGCGCCACTGCACTCCAACCTGGGTGACAGAGCAAGACTCCATCTCAAAAAAAAAGAAAAAAAAGGAAATTCTCGCCGGGCGTGGTGGCTCACGTCTGTTATCCCAGCACTTTGGGAGGCCAAGGCAGCGGATCACGAGGTCAGGAGATCGAGACCATCCTGGGTTAACACGGTAAAACTCTGTCTCTACTGAAAATACAAAAAATTAGCCGGGCGCAGTGGCGGGCGCCTGGAGTCCCAGCTACTCGGGAGGCTGAGGCAGGAGAATGGTGTGAACCCAGGAGGCAGAGCTTGCAGTGAGCCGAGATTGCGCCACTGCACTCCAGCCTGGGCGACAGAGCCAGACTGTGTCTCAAAACAAAAAAAAAAAACAAAAAAACAAACAAAAAAACCCTGACCTAAAATCTAAGCCTCTTATTTTCTTCTGCAATACCGCTTGGCCCCAGTACAAACTCGACACTAGTTCCAAGTGGCCAGAGAATGGCACTTTCGATTTGTCTATCCTACAAGACCTAGATAATTTTTGTAGAAAAATGGGCAAATGGGCCAGGCGCGGTGGCTCAAGCCTGTAATCCCAGCACTTTGGGAGGCCGAGACAGGCGGATCACGAGGTCAGGAGATCGAGACCATCCTGGCTAACCCGGTGAAACCCCGTCTCTACTAAAAAATACAAAAAACTAGCCGGGCGAGATGGCGGGCGCCTGTAGTCCCAGCTACTCAGGAGGCTGAGGCAGGAGAATGGCGTGAACCCGGGAGGCGGAGCTTGCAGTGAGCCAAGATCATGCCACTGCACTCCAGCCTGGGTGACAGAGCAAGACTGTCTCAAAAAAAAAAAAAAAAAAAAAAGGGCACATGGTCTGAGGTGCCTGACGTCCAGGCATTCTTTTACACATTGGTCCCTCCCTAGTCTCTGCCCCCAATGCGACTCATCCCAAATCTATCTTTCTCTCCTGTCTGTCCCTTCAGTCTCCACCCCAAGCTCTGAGTCCTTTGAATCCTCCTTTTCTACAGACCCATCTGACCTCCCCCCTCCTCCCCAGGCTGCTCCTCGCCAGGCCAAGCTAGGTCCCAATTCTTCCTCAGCCTCTGGCTCCCCAACCCTCTAATCCTTCTATCACCTCCCCTCCTCTCACCCAGTCCGGCTTACGGTTTCGTTCCACCTGCCCAACAATTTCCTCTTACAGAGGTGGCTGGAGCTGAGGGCACAGTCAGGGTACACGTGCCTTTTCCTCTATCAGACCTTTCCCAAGTCAGCCAGCGTTCAGGCTCTTTCTCATCAGACCCCACTAAACAGATACAGGAATTTCGACATCTGACACTGTCCTACAATTTAACCTGGAGTGACTTAAATGTCACCCTAACTTCTACCCTCTCCCCAGATGAACAGGAAAGAGTTTTTCTCTCTAGCCCAGTCTCACGCCGATAACTGCCGGCTTCATGAGCCAGACCTCTGGGAAGGCATTAGAGCAGTTCCCCGGGAAGATCCCCAATGGAACCATCAGGCAGATTCTCCAGGCACAGCTAGGTGAGATTTCGTGGTTTCTGCCTAAAGAGCTTTAAAAGGCAGCTGACAAAGCTGTTAATTATGACAGACAAACTACGCAAGGTAAAGACAAAAACCCAGCCCAGTTCACGGCCTGTTTAGCAGCAACCCTTTACCGCCCTAGACCCAGAGGGGCCAGAACGCCGCCTTATTCTTAATATGCATTTTCTCACCCAGTCAGCTCCTGACATTAGAAAAAAGCTTCAGGGCCTGGCACAGTAGCTCAAGCCTGTAATCCCAGCACTTTAGGAGGCCGAGACTGGCGGATCACGAGGTCAGGAGATCAAGACCATCTGGCTAACATGGTGAAACCCCATCTCTACTAAAAGATACAAAAATATAGCCGGGCGAGGTGGCGGGCGCCTGTAGTCCCAGCTACTCGGGAGGCTGAGGCAGGAGAATGGCGTAAACCCGGGAGGCGGAGCTTGCAGTGAGCTGAGATCCGGCCACTGCACTCCAGCCTGGGCAACACAGCGAGACTCTGTCTCAAAAAACAAGAAAAAGAAAAAAAAAAAAAAGAAAAAAAAAAGCTTCAAAAGTTAGAATCTGGCCCTCAAACCCCACAACAGGAATTAATCAACCTCGCCTTCAAGGTGTACAACAATAGAAAGGAGGTAGCCAGACCGCAACGGCATTTCTGAGTTACAGCTACTTGCCTCCACTGTAAGACAACCCACCACCACGTCTCCAGCACACAAAACCTTCAAAACATCCAAGCCACAGCTCCCAGGGGCTCCTTCAAAACATCCTTGTGGGCCTTGCTTCAACTGCCAAAAGGCTGGCCGCTGGGCTAAGGAATGCCCGCAGCCCCGAATTCCTCCTGAGCCGTGCCCTCTCTGTGCGGGCCCCCACTGGAGGTCGGACCGCCCGACTCACATCACTGCCACTCCTAAAGCCCCTGGAGCCCAAACCCAATGTTCCTTGGCCAACTCCTTCCCAGATCTTCTTGACTTAGCAGCTGAAAACACGCTTCCTGATTGCCTCGGAAGCCCCCTGGACAATCATGGACACCGGGTAACGCTTAAAGTGGAGTAAGTCTGTCCCCTTTTTTTTTTTTTTTTTTTTTGAGACAGAGTCTCGCTCTGTCACCCAGGCTGGAGTGCAGTGGCCGGACCTCAGCTCACTACAAGCTCTGCCTCCCAGGTTTACGCCATTCTCCTGCCTCAGCCTCCCAAATAGTTGGGACTACAGGCGCCCGCCACCTCGCCTGGCTAGTTTTTTGTATTTTTAGTAGAGACGGGGTTTCACCGTGTTAGCCAGGCTGGTCTCGATCTCCTGACCTCGTGATCTGCCCGTCTCGGCCTCCCAAAGTGCTGGGATTACAGGCTTGAGCCACCGTGCCCGGCCAGGTCTGTCCCCTTCTAAATCAATATGGAAGCTACCCGCTCCATATTACCATCTTTTCAAGGGCCTGTTTCCCTTGCTGCCATTCCTTAACTATTGTATTGACAGCCACGCTGCTAAACCTCTTAAAACTCCCCAACTCTGATGCCAACTTGGACAACATTCTTCTTTTTTTTTTTTTTTTGAGACGGAGTCTTGCTCTGTCACCCAGGCTGGAGTGCAGTGGCCGGATCTCAGCTCACTGCAAGCTCCGCCTCTCGGGTTTACGCCATTCTCCTGCCTCAGCCTCCCGAGTAGCTGGGACTACAGGCGCCCGCCACCGCGCCCGGCTAGTTTTTTGTATTTTTAGTAGAGACGGGGTTTCACCGTGTTAGCCAGGATAGTCTCGATCTCCTGACCTCGTGATCCGCCCGCCTCGGCCTCCCAAAGTGCTGGGATTACAGGCTTGAGCCACCGCGCCCGGCCGGACAACATTCTTTCTACACTCCTTTTTAGTTATCCCCACCTGCCCACCTCCCTTATTAGGTGGAGCCATTTTAACTAAATTATCTGCTTCTGTGAGTAAACTGGGCTACAGCCACACCTCATTGCCAGCTTTTGCCCCAGTTCAAAGCCTCCTTCACCTCCTCCTTGTATCTCCCCACCTTAACCTGCAAGTACAGGATGCCCCACTCCCTCCTTGGCCGCCGATCATGCACCCCTTACCATCCCATTAAAACCTAATCACACTTACCCCACTCAACACCAATATCCCACCCCACAGCACACTTTAAAAGGATTAAAGCTTGTTATCACTCACCTGTTATAGCATGGCCTTTTAAAGTCTATAAACTCTCCTTACAATTCTGCTGTTTTACCTGTTCTAAAACCAGACAGGTCTTGCAGGTTAGTTCAGCATCTGTGCCTTATCGACCAAATTGTCCACCCCGTGGTGCCAAATCCATATATTCTCCTATCCTCAATACTTCCCTCTGCAATCTCTCCACAACCCAATATTCTGTTCTGGATTTCATAATGCTTCATGCAAATGTGTCCAGAACTGGTGGGTTCTTTAGTCTTGCCGACTTTAAGAATGAAGACACGGACCCTCCCAGCGAGTGTTACAGTTCTTAAACATAGTGTCCTGAGTTTGTTCCTTCAGATGTTAAACATAGTGTCCTGAGTTTGTTCCTTCAGATGTATCTGGAGCTTATTCCTTCTGGTGGGTTCATGGTCTCGCTGGCTTCAGGATTAGAAGCTGCAAATCTTCTCAGTGAGTGTTACAGCTCTTAAACTCAGTGCATCTAAAGTTGTTCGTTCATTCCCAGTGGGTTCATAGTCTCACTGGTTTCAGGAGTGAAGCTGCAGACCTTCGTGGTGAGTGTTACACCTTTTTTAAAGGCAGTGGGGACCCAAAGACTGAGCACCAACAAAACTCACTGTAAAAAGGAAGAGAACAAACCTTCCACACTACAAGAACAGATCCAGCGGATTGCCGCTGACTGGCTCCGGCAACCCGCTTTTATTCCCTTATCTTGCCCCACCCACATCCTGCTGATTGGTCCATTTTACAGATAGCTGATTGGTCCATTTTACAGAGAGCTTATTGGTCCACTTTACAGATAACTGATTGGTCCGTTTTGACAGGGTGCAGATTGGTGCGTTTACAATCCCTGAGCTAGACACAGTGCTAAACAGAAAAGTTCTCCGAGTCCCCACCAGGTTAGCTAGACACAGAGTAC